ATGTATTTTGAAAGGCAAAGACTGGTTAGGGATAGTCAATATGACTTTGTGTGTGGGAAATCGTGTCTCACTGACTTGATTGAATATTTTGAAGAAGTAATGAAGAGGATTGATGAGGGCAGAGCGGTGTGTGTGACCTAAATAAACGTCTGTAAGGCATTTGACAAGGTTCTTCATGATAGACTAGTTAGCAAGGTTAGATCACATGGAAGGAGGGAGAACTAGCTATTTGGATACAGAATTGGCTTGAAGGTGGAAGACAGAGGGTTGCTTTTCAGACCGGAGGCCTGTGACCAGCAGTGTTCCACAAGGATCAGTGCTGTGTCCACTGATTTTCGTCATTTATATAAAATGATTTTGATATAAGTGTAAGAGTTATGGTTAGTAAGTTTGCAGATGACACCAAAATTGAAGGTGTAGTGGACAGCAAAGAAGGTTACCTCAGAGTACAACGGGATCTTGATCAGATGGGCCAATAGGCTGAGGCATGGTAGATGGAATTTAATTTAGATAAATATGAGGTCCTACATTTTGGAAAGGCAAATCAGGGCAGGACTTGTACGCTTGATGGTAAGGTCCTGGGGAGTGTTGCTGAACAAAGGGACCTTGGAGTGAAGGTAGATAGGATAGTGAAGAAGGCATTTGGTATGCTTGCCTTTATTTGTCAGTGCACTGAGTACAGGATATTGGTTAGGCCACTATTAGAATACTGTGTACAATTTTGGTATCCCTGCTATAGGAAGGATGTTGTGAAACTTGAAAGGCTTCAGAAAAGATTTTCAAGGATGTTGCCAGGGTTGGAAGGTTTGAGCTATAGGGAGAGGTGGAATAGGCTGGGGCTATTTTCCCCTGGAGTGTCAGGGCTAAGGGGTGACCTCATAAAGGTTTTTAAAATCATGAGGGGTGTGGATAGGGTAAATAGACAAAGTCTTTTCCCAGGGGTGTTGGAGTCCAACGCCAGAGGGCATAGGTTTGAGGTCAGAGGGGAAAGATTTAAAAGGGAGCTAAGGAGAAACATTTTCACGCAGCAGGCTGTACGTTATGGAATGAGCCACCAGAAGAAGTGGTGGAGCTAGTACAATTACACCTTTTAAAAGGCATTGGGACAGGTGTATGAAAAATAGAAAAGATTTAGAGGGATATGGGCCAAATGGTAGCAAATGGGTCTAGATTTATTTAGGATAACTGGTCAGCATGGATAAGTTGGACTCGGGTCTGTTTCTGTGCTGTATATCTCTGACTTTATGATTTGTAATAAATAGTATTTCTCATTAATTCGAGGAAGCTGGTTGGTGTTTTCTGTTAATCTGATTCTATGAGAGAGTTAAATTTGGGCCTTTGTATATTTCTACTAAACCATTAACTTTTGTGCCAACCCCTGGAATAGTGGGCTCAAATATCAGTGCATTTTCCAAAGTGGGTTGTAACGGTAGTCAGCATTTGCATCATGTACAAATGAGAGTTTACCATCATCCTAGATCCATTGGAATATGGAGAATTCTGACAAGAAGGTCCAATGAATGCCTCTACCTGGACCTTTGACACAGTAGACTTCTAGATTCATAGAGAAGTACAACATGGAAATGGACCCTTTGGTCCAACTCTTCCATGGCAACCAGAGATCCTAAATTAATCTAGTCCCGTTTACAGCTGTTGGCCCATAGCCCTCTTAAACCCTTCCTATTCATGTACCCATCCAGATGCCTTTTAAAAGTTGTAATTTTACCCACCTCCACCACTTCCTCTGACAACTCATTCCATACATCCATCACCCTCTTCTGTACTTCTGTAATATGGATACTTTTCAAGACATTACCGTTTCTTCCCCCAAGTTGTCTAGCTTCCATGACCTCCATGTTCGATACTGACGTGAAATACCCATTTGGTATCTTACCCATCTCCTGTGGTTCTGCGCAAAGACAACCTTGTTGATCTTTCTCTTCCAAGTTGCTCTTTTTCCTTTAATGTATTTGCAGAATCTCTTTTGATTCACCTTAACCCTATTTACTCAAGATTTCTCCGTGTATTCTGACGTATGCAGCAGAAGCCATGATGCACAAATACAATAGGAGATGGTAAGTCTGGTAGTAGGATTATCGAAACCTTGTTCCAAGCCCCCAGCCCACATCACCCAAGGAAGTCAGCATTGCTTTTAAGAGCATGTTATCAAACACTTGTCATTGAACATGAGAGGAAATTTGCTCTGTGCTCTTTTGAAGCCTATCAGAGTTTCAGCTGTCTTTGTAAATTGTAGTCTGCTGTAAAAGGCAAAGCAAACAAAAGCAGAAAAGGGCTCTATTGGTACAGTGGTAGTGTTCCTGCCTCTGAGCCAAAAGGCCAGAGTTTAGATCCCACCGACTTCAGAGTTGTATCATAACACACCTGAAAAGGTTGCTTAAAAGTACCTAATTCAAAAACAAAATGGCTGTTCAATCGGTTTCTAAGTATTATGAAGCTGAAAGCTTGGACTGATGTGGCATTGTGCAAAATGCAAAGTTGCTGTGAATATCCAAACAAGATCGAAATAAGTAAGCGCTAAGAGATCAAGCTAAGAACCCTGAGGTGCACCTTGGTCCAGTACTTAAGATCAGTGACTGTCTTTGTGTGTAAAGTCTCCTGGCAGCAGCATTGCAATGAAAGGTGCTGGTGCACTTGAGCATGCAGTACTGAAGTAATGAACTATATTATAAATGAGGCAGAGGTGAGCCATGATGTTATGGCAAGGCTGGTGAGTGTCTGGTGCCAACCTCCATAAACAAAAGGTGGGGGTGATCATTGTTCATGGAGTGTGTCCTGGGATTTTGGGAAAGCTTACCAAATAGCTGTCTGGAGGACCAAGCAGTGAGTGGCCAAGTACCTGCTTTGACTTTCATGTCAGGAAGTATTGCTGTCTATTTCTCTGCACTACCTGGGAAAATAGCAAACTACAGACTCCTATCATATGGGATCTTGAAAGGACAAATTGAGGTTAACCAATTGAATGAGTCTTATAAGAAAACTGAGGTATGTTCGGAGCTTACATGATGTTGAGAACATAGTCACACGACTGATATAAAGTTAGAGTTGATTGAAATGAATGCATGTTCAGCATTTTGAGATGTAGAGACTTGATCTTTTCTGGTGTCTCTGTTTTGGTAATGCAAGCAGATCAATTTTTGAAGGTCAGTCAAATCAGCACAATGGGGAACAACTTCACTCACCTACCTTATCATCAGTAATACATGACTACTAAACACCTCAGACCTTTCTGAGGTCACAAAAAGATGCTGCATCAATTTACTCTGGCAATGAAGGCCATCAGTTTAACTGGGATAATGTAACCGTACTAGCCCAAGCTAAACATAGACCTGCACGGTAACTCCTAGAGACATGGTTCTGAACCCATAATGCAATCAACAAACATAGAGAATTAGACCACATATACAAACCCATACAGAACCAAACCAGAAATGACACTACTCACCATAACAGACCAGACAGTATAAATTCCAAGCAGCATAGAACACCATCGCTTCATCCGAGCCTCACTGATGATGTTACCTAGCATGGTGATGGCAAGTAAGTCAACAACCTCATGCTGCATCAATGTAAGCTGTTCTTTTTTGTTTTGTTCCTTGTGGCAATTACAAGCAGAGAATGTATTAAACAAATCAATTCTTGGTTAGTACTGTCATGTTCTTGAGAGGTGTTCATTTCCCTTCTATTAGTAAAATTATAGTGCAATAATTTAATTATAAAACCTCTACACTCTCGCTGCTAAACGCTGGGCTTTCTCACTCTTCCCTCAGGAAAGATACTGTGTATTGTTCCATGGACACTGGAAACTCTCCACATCTAGCATTAATTCACATGTGGAAACTAAAAGATCAAGCATTAATATAGTGATCATTAGGTTCATAGTTGAGTCTGATTTTGTCCACGGCTGGTGGTGACGCATACCTAAGTCAGTGGATAGCAATCTGAAATGGAAATGCTAACTGAATTTTCAACTGTTTAACTCAGAGCACTGAAGCAAAAGATAGTGTTTCTACTGTTATTCCAAAAACTTAGTACCTTCACTATCTGTAAGAACTTAGTATGTTAATAGATGGTCCATTTAACTATTGGATCATACAAATAATTTTAGCCCAAAAATCAACTTTTGATGTATCAATGGATTTGTTTTTTCATTGTTTTCTATTATTGGATTAGATTGGCAAGCTTTTAGTATTGTGGCAGAGTTATTCTTAAACTAGTAAAATGATAGAGGCCTGCTGTTTGCAAATAGTGGAATTCTGTTATTTTGATGGCCAGATGGTCACTAATAGCCTGGTGTCACATCAGATTTATTCACCATTTCTGTACAAAACATTGCAAATGAATTTTTTTGGAAGAAAATCAGTGTGTAATAACAGAGCTACTTACTGCGGTTACGCTGAAGTCTTTCGGTGGAGGTTATGATTATATTTTTGTTTAGGAGGAAGCTGCCAACAGCTGTGTCTACCTACTGCAGGGTGGCTTCACAGTTAGTGTGGCTCGTAAACCTGTCAAAATCCTGAAACTCCAGATTCCAGTCATTTTGTTTTTATTTTTATATGATCGCAATGGCAGGCTAAATTCATAAATATGATACCTCTTTACCTTGGATCTCATTTTGGCAGTGATATATATTAATTCTGTTATTTATGGTTTTACGAATATCCATGGTAAGCAAAGATATTGAATCATTATGGCAAGTCATCTTTTTTTGATAGCCCCTTTGACAGCAGTGAAACATCATGACTTTGGTAGTTATTTTTCAGATTTGAAGAATTATATCGATCAAAATTATAATATATCCTACTACAATTAAGGAGGCAATGCATAAAGCAGTCCAGAAGCTCAACTTGTAATCTTGGTGTAAAAAGAATCTGGTCATATTGATTTTCAAAATGTTCTGAAAAATTGAATAAATTTTGGATATGCCCATACGTTATCTTCAAGATATAGTAATTTTTATATTTAAAATGTCTCTTCCACAGATTTCCTTTTCACAACACAGTAGCTTTATGGATCTCGTCCAATTCTTTGTCACGTTTTTCAGGTAAGTTGATTTCTATTTAAGTCTGAACTTATTTTAAGGTGTTGAATTTGTACAATAACTCAAAATGTGGAATACTTATTGCTTCCAAAAAAAAGCAAATATAAAATTTGCATACAGGTCCAACAATTTAAGTGCCTAGAAATATGAAGCAATTCAGATAATCTGTGTCTCAGCATTTCCTCACTGAAGCATTTAGGAAGCTTGAACTCTTTGGTTGCAGGCCCACAGATAGATTGTCAGGCTTATTCATGACTGGCAAATTCTCCAACAGCAGGTGAGAATGAAGGGGTATTTGTTGCTGGGGCAATTGGATCTATCCTTCTCCATTCTGTATCAGGCACTTTGCAGATGACCCTCTTTGCAGGTGACCCACATTTCTTTTTTAAATGTCCAGAAAGATTTTATTCTGTCTCATCCAGGTTTTTCCATTTTTGTTGAATAAGGAATTATTCCAATTTTTATTGGATGCTTTGGCATTTTATATTAAGTGCACTACTGAGAGGTTTTGTTTGATATATTGGTGTCCTTCAAATTCATTCAAGCCTTTTTCAGATTATTATCATGCTTTGTCTTAGACTTTCAGAAAACCATTTTTAATATCCCTCTTGGAAATTCCCCTTTTCTTTAGAAAGAAAACTTCTCATTATTCATCTTAATGTTTTATTTTTGTTTCAATGAAACTAAACTTAATTTCCTACTCTATTCATAACTTCATGATTTATACATTCGATGATCTCCTGATTTTTCCCTTTTTTTTAAACAATTTACTAACTGTGCTTGGATGGAGTATTCCTTGGATTGTTTCACAAATGTTTCATGGTCAGTAACAGTTTCCTGAGTTTATAGGAATCAGGTCTTCCCAGGAAGGTATTTCAGGTAATTACATTTGAGCAGCCTCAGATTCTCTGTAAATATTTGTTATGAAGAACGTAGCTTTAATTTCCTCGAATACTTTTAGCTGAGAATGGTAGATTTGAGGAATAATCTTATTTTGTGGATCAGACTATGTATTGCAATGGTTTATTTAAAGCAAGGGTGAAGTGGAGTCTTTACTTTTCACCTTTCGGTTATTATCTTTCTTTTTACCTTCTCTTGAGGATACTGATTGTAGTGATTTTATGTTTCGTAATTCTTCAGGGGAGGTGATGATCTACTGATATTGTCACTAAACTATTAATCCAGAAACTGTTCATGTTCTGGGGACCTGAGTTCAAATCCTGCCATAGCAGATAGAATTTGAATTCAATAATAATCTGGAATTAAAAATCTACTGATGACCATGAAACCATTGTCAGAAAAACCCATCTAGTTCATTAATATCCTTCAAGGAAATCTGCCAACCTCACCTGGTCTGGCCTACATGTGACTCCACATCCACAGAAATGTGTTTGACTCTCAACTGCCCTCTGAACTGGCCTGTCAAGCTATTCAGTTCAAAGGCAACAAATGCTGGCCAGCCAGTGACGCCCACATCCCACAAGTGAATGATAAAACAAAATTCACCTTGGTTACAATAATAGCTAGACATCAGTGCTACCGTGCTGTTCAAGCATAGTGTGTTAGCCAAGCTCAATACTTCCCTTTTCAATTGTCCAACATATACTTTCATTTTGGCATTAGACAGATACAGAAACCTTGATGGAGTTTCCTCTTTTGAACCAGGAGAATGCTGGGGACAATAGCTATAATATAGTTACTTCCCAGCAAAGATAAGAAGGGTCTAGGCCTGAAACGTCAGCCCTCCTGTTCCTCTGATGCTGCTTGGCCTGCTGTGTTCTTCCAGCTCTACACCTTGTTATCTCAGTACCTCAAAGCATATTGATATTTATTATCAGACCTTCCCCGTTCAAATGGTTCAGTGATCCATGGTGGTTGGGCTGCAACATATTTTATTTGTTTTGTGATGACTAGCAGACATTGTGCTAAAGCTATCAGTGTTTAGCAGTGTTACCGCATTGCCTTTCTCTGGACTTATGCATTTAGTTACTGATTCATCATCCCGTCACTTTAATATCATTATCTCCACTTATAAGTTTTATTTTATAAAATGCATCTCTCATACTGACTGCAGGCAACAAGTTAACAAAGCTATAATCATCAGGGTCATCTTTTTGACTTTTTAAAGCTGAAAGTATAAGTTGTGATTTGTTGCTTTCACATTTATGTTGTTTGAAAAGTTTCCACACAACTCCTTTTGTTTACATCCCAATTTTTTTTTACATAATACTTGAAGCATTCCACCTGAATCTGTTGTCTTTTAAGCACCAAAGATTTGAAATGTTTAATAGGGCAAACTGAGATCTTGATCTAGAAATTGATTGTGCCCCCATGTAGTTACGAATCTGATACAGTACCATTGGGACAATAGTGTAATGGGTGGTCATTGTAAAATGGCCTGCCCCCCTTATTAGAATAGTTTTCGTGCAAAATGGCCTCAAAGACAACTCAGCAGTCATGTTTGGAGGAGAGTAAGGTCAGAGCTAAGAGAATTGACAAGGAAGCAATTTTGACGAATATGACGAAACCCACAGTTTTAAATTTGAGCTGGAATGAGCACTTTTGCTTGTTATGTAATAAGGTGTTTTTCAAAAAAATGCACAATTTTGTTTTGATGGAAGCCTTCAACAATCTCCTTGAGGCTTACTATTTGATTGCCAATCACTTGAATTTGTCAGTTAAAGGTAAAGTCGTCATAGTCATGCTGGACCAGAGGCCTGCTGTCTCCTTGGAGAGAGATGACTAGCAGTGATTCCTGAGGCAGCCAGAGCAGGTTTGGATTCTAGATATTTTTAATGAAAACATTCAGATATGTTATTGCACACCTCTGGAGCAGGTGGGACTTGAATCCAGGGCTCAGAGCTAGGGACACTACCACTGTTACACGAAAGACCTCAAGATTACATTCTAGTTCAGTCTGTTTAATTATGTCTCTTTCAACCACATTGCCCAATAAGGGATAGCTCACTCAACTGTCACCACAAGGTTCAGTTAAAATTATAGAAGAGCAAGCTGGAAGCAGCAGGCATTAATTGAAATGAAGTGCCAACCTAGTGAAGTTTTGATAGAGGATTATGTACATGCTAAGTAGTGAAAACAGAATGCTATAGACAGACCTAAGCAGTTTCACAATCAATGGATCAGATTTGAAGTCTGAAGCCCTATTATATCCAGCTGTGAATAATGAGAGGCAACTAGAAAAGAAATCGGCAAAGAAAGCTGCACAGTCCTATCTTCAATGATTCTGAAGCTTGGCATGAGAGTGCAAAGGACAAAACTATTACCATCATCAGCCAGAAACATTGATTGGATTGTCCATCTTGGATTTATTTTGAAATGTTGGCCATCACAGAATCCAGTCTTTAACTAGTTTGATTGATTCCAATTATCATCAAGAAATGTAAGAACAAACTGGTTATTGCCCCTGAAGACCTCTTAACAATGCTGGTGAAGATTTGTACTCTGGCCAAACTCTCTTTTTTGCAGCTATAGCACTGGTATCTGCCAAACAAAGAGATGTCCCAGCTTAGTCCTGCCCACAGGAAAAAATACAGAACAATGCAGTATGGCCAATTATCATCCCATCAGTTCACTCTGAAGCATCAACAAAATGATGGAATGTGTCATCAACAGTACTTACCAAACAACACTTCACCAAAAGTCTGTGTAGCATTGTACATGTTTGTCACCAGGATTGCTAAATTCTAGACCTCATTGGTCTAATGTCAACAGAAGAACTAAATTCGAGGAGGTGAGGTGAGAGGTATTGCTTTCGACATCATATCAGCTTTTGACTGAGTGTAACATCAAGGCTAAAACTGAAATCAATTGGGATGGAGTAAAATATTGCAACATTGCAGTCATTATACTTTACACAAAGGAAGGTGATTGGTTGAGCCAATCATCTCAGTACAGAGTATTGCTGCATGAGTTCCCAAGCTTAACTCTCTTCAGTAGTGTCAACGATGACTTTATATCCATCGTAAAATCAGAACTGGTTTCTTGTGATAAACAAATTTTGATAAATAGTGCTGTTGTGATGAACAATAAGTTTCTATTAGAACTTCTCAGATGATGAATCAATCCATGCCTTCATGCACCAAAATCTGGACAGTATCCAGACTGCTGTAATAAATAACACAATATGCGTGTCTCACAAGTGCTAGGCAATGACTATCGCCAACCAAGAGAATCTAACCAGTCTCCCATTGTCATAGTTGAATTCCCCACTCCAGGAAAGAAAGAAAGAAATTAATGTCAGCAGAAAGCCTTCCCATCAGACCTGCGTGGCTAGAGCAAAGCCATAGCGTAGGTAGTTATCCTTGGCCCATGCCAAAAGACCCAAATCCAGTTCAGAATGTTCTTGGGATTACCACTGACTAAAATTAGATCAATTGGGACAGGTAAATGAATACTGTGAATACTCAAACAAGTCAGACCCTAAGAATTCTGCAGTTAATGACACAAAAATGCCTGTCCACCAGCTAAAAAGCACAAGTTCGTAGTGTGATGGAATATTTTCCACTGGCTTAGAAGTGTACTGTTCCGGTAGCACTCAAGAAACTCGGCTCTATGTCGAAAAAGCCATCCACCTAGTTGCCATCCCTTCTATTGGGGGAATCTTCCATTATGGAGTCTATGTATGGTTTCAGTTATGTTACAGGTTGTCACCACCTCTATGGGCAGGGACACGTTTCCTTTCACAATCACAGTTTTCGATTCATTACTTACACATTCAAGTTGTTTGATGAATTGAATGGTGAATCTTATGAGGTGAGCTGGCAGGAAGATCTTGTCCCAGACTGAAGATCTGGCAGCCAAATTTAAAAGCTGACTGGACAGCTCTTCACTGTCACTTCAGTCTGTAGTATAGGTGGAGCCTGTGCTGGTTGTCCCCACCCTCCCTGAAGGTGTTTCACTTCAGCTAGAAACTGGCCCCTTATCTCAGTGACACCTTGATCAGAGTTCTGCTTGAAGTACTCCAGGAAAGAAAGAAAGAAATT